TGTTTCCCCCCGTCCTTTCGGCAAATCAGTGTTGAACGCCGCCCCTCCCGCCCCAGGTTTCAAAAGGACCCACTGTCCGCACAGCCCCGCGGCCAAGTCCACCGCTCCGGTCGCCGTCGACGCCGCGGACGCCACTCGCGAGCACGCCGAAGCCCTCAATCACACCCCCGGGGCTCCTTTCCTTTCCTAAGTCCATTGCTCTTTTTCGGGCCCTTTGGGCCAGATGACTTCCCACCCAGAGACCGCTCCCCTTCCAGTCGAACCGGCACGCTCCCCCTCATCACCAGCACCCCACTTCGGCCGGCTGTCTCGCCGTCCCCGCCGGCTCCGTCGGTCCGGCCACGCGGTCCTCGCTCGGCCCAGGTCCCGCTCCTCCGAGCCCGAGCCCGAGCCCTCGCGGCCAAATCCCAGAGCATCTCTCCTCCGTCCCCAAGCCCGCGGGGCCCTGCCATCTCTTCGCACCACCCTCCTTCAAACCCTCGAGCCCTTGCCTCTCAAGCTGCCTCTCCCTCCGCGTCCCGCTCCCTCTCGCCCCTCAGCCTCTACTTGCCCCTCCGCGCCGGCCATCGTCATCCCCCTCGGGCCCTCGGCTCACCACCTCCATTTCCCTCAGGTTCCATTCTAGAGCCACTCTCCGGGCTCCTCAACCGTCTCCCGGGGCCCCTCGGATCCCTGTTCTCGGCACCCCCCGGCTTCAGCCCCGACACCCCGATCGCCCCTGGCCGCAGGTGCCCCCAAACTCCCCTCGCTGCAGCCTCAGCCGCCGCTCACCTCTGTGGTCCGAGTCGGGCTGCCCGGACCCACCTCGGAGTCGGCGTCCGAGCCGCCGTCGGAGTCCGGGGCCCTCCGAGCCTCGCCGGAGTGGAGCGCCCCGAGCGCCGGGGGCGGAGCCCGGGGAGGGGACCCGGAGTGGAGGCGAGAGCGGTGGCGGCTGCGCGCAGGCATTGCTCCTGCCCAGGTCTCCGCGGCTCGGGCAACTGCTCTTAAACCAAACCGGAACTGCTTCAGGAGGCGGGGCCCCGCTGACGGGAGGCGGAGCCCATGGTGGGGGCGGGGCCAAAACCGGAAGAGGCGCGGGGCTCAAGATGCGAGCGAGAGCCTGGCAAGAAAACCCAGGAGCGCATGCGTCAGGCCCAAAGCGAGAAGATAAGGCCAAAGGAGATCAGGCTGGTGAAGATGGGGAGGGGCCGACAGGTGGGTAAATGGGGTTTGAGGACGAGGGGAAATTACCCTCATTCCTCTAGAGCAGCGGTTCTCAACTTGTGGGTCGTGACCCCTTTGGGGGTTGAACGACCCTTTCACAGGGATCGCCTAAGACCATTGGGAAAACACATATATAATTACATATTTTTTAAAAATATATTTTATTAATTTTTCACAGAGAGGAAGGGAGAGGGATAGAGAGTTAGAAACATGGATGAGAGAGAAACATCGATCAGCTGCCTCCTGCACACTCCCTACTGGGGATGTGCCAGCAATCAAGGTACATGCCCTTGGCCAGAATCGAACCCGAGACCCTTGAGTCTGCAGGCTGACGCTCTATCCACTGAGCCAAACCGGTTAGGGCTACATATTGTTTTTGTGATTAATCACTATGCTTTAATTATGTTCAATTTGTAACAATGAAAATATATCATGCATATCAGACATTTACATTACGATTCATAACAGGAGCAAAATTACAGTTATGAAGTAGCAACGAAAATAATTTTATGGTTGGGGGTCACCACAACATGAGGAACTGCATTAAAGGGTCCCGGCATTAGGAAGGTTGAGAACCGCTGCTCTAGAGGGAGCCAGCTCCTCTCCAAGAGCCAACTCATGATGATCCTTGTTACCATTTATTGCCCCTTTACTCTCTGACAGGGATGCCAAATGCCATATAAATATCTCACTTAATCCTTGTGCCAACTCTACACGGCCAAGAAACTTGTCTGAATTATTGCAGTTAATATGTGCCAAAGCCAGTATTCCTATTCAAATCTGTCTAACTTTAGACTCCATGCTCTTCTTCTATACTACCCTGCCCCGTGGGAACTCCCAGGCTCCTCAACCATCTCCTGGGGCCGCTCCAGATCCCTGTCCTTGGCAGCCCCTGGCTTCAGCCCTGCTTAGCACTGGCATCAACCAAATCCAAAACGATCTGTGACCTGGGCTCCAGCCCCTCCTTGGCCTTACTTTCCCAACCAGTGCAAGACAGACTTCAGTGCTCTTATGGGGGTGGGGACAGGTTCTGGGGTGGACATGCTTACGTGGGATGTCCTGGTGTGGACGTTACCCTCAAGCTGGCCTCAAGGCCAGGACAGCAGGGAGGCTTCCTACTGCAGCTGGTGCTTCCCCTGCCCCGTCAGGACCTTCATGAAGTCATCTGAAAGCCAGCAAGACATCTCATCTCTTTTGCCAATAACTAGCTCTGGCAGAAGGACAGATACAGACCTTTCTCAGTTTCTGTGGTGGAGACTCTCCCTCCCAACTCAAAAAAATGTTTCTGATGACAGGCCCTTAGACTCTAGTCCAGTGATGGCGAGCCTATGACACGCGTGTCAGAGGTGACATGCGAACTCATTTTTTGGTTGATTTTTCTTTTTTAAATGGCATTTCAATATATAAAATAAATATCAAAAATATAAGTCTTTGTTTTACTATGGTTGCAAATATCAAAAAATTCCTATATGTGACACGGCACCAGAGTTAAGTTAGGGTTTTTCAAAATGCTGACGCGCCGAGCTCAAAAGGCTCGCAATCACTGCTCTAGGGCAACATTCAAGTCCCTTCTTTCTTCCCCTTTGACATACATGGCCCGTTTCAGCCTTCTCTTTTGATAAATCAGCCATCTGCATGACAAAATCACTGTTCAAACCTTCACTGGTGAACCCTGTGGGTACCCTTCAGATGAGGTCTTCCATGCTGACTCTCCATCGTTCTCTGACTCAGCAACTCAGGAAACTAGACTCTGGAGACTCATCCAACAGTTCTGACCCAGACTGCAGAGCTTTTCCTCTCGTTCATCCTTACAGTCAACCATCTCCTCTCCACCCTGAGTCTCTACTTTAACTCAGTCCTCAGGATGGAGTAGCCTTTTCGGGCCACTTAACCTATCCAGAAATGTTTTAGCATCTGTTACATGTTAGAAACAGAACATCCTTTGTTTCATTAAATCTTCACAATTCTTTTTTTTAAAAAATATATTTTATTGATTTTTTACAGAGGGGAAGGGAGAGGGATAGAGAGTTAGAACCTTGATGAGAGAGAAGCATCAATTCAGCTGCCTCCTGCACACTCCCTACTGGGGATGTGCCCACAACCAAGGTATATGCCCTTGACCAGAATCGAACCTGGGACCCTTCAGTCTGCAGGCTGACGCTCTATCCACGGAGCCAAACCAGTTAGAGCTCTCTCTCTCTCTCTCTTTTTTTTAAAATCCTTATCTGAGGATTTTTTTTTATTGATCTTGAGAGAGAGAGTGGAAGAGAGAAGGAAAGACAGAGAGAAACATCGATGTGAGAGAAACACATCGATTGGTTGCCTCCTGCAGGAGCCCTGACCAGGGCCCAGTCCGGGGAGGAGCCTGCAACCAAGGTACATGCCCTTGTACCCTTGACCAGAATTGAACCCGGGACCCTTCAGTTCGCAGGCCAACACTCTATCCTCTGAGCCAAACCAGCTAGGGCAAATCTTTGCAATTCTTTGAGGTAGGTGCAATTATCCTTACTTTGCGGATGAAGAAACAGAGGTGCAGAGATAAAGTGGTTTGCAGAGGTATGTTTGATTCCATGTGGTCATGGAGTTGGGGGTTGGCGGGGGTGACTTGGGGAAGAAAATGTCCTGTTCCCTCTGGAGGCCCCGGTGACTTGCTGAGTCACTTCTTTCTGTCCCACCTGTCCCTGCCAATCTCCGGCCGGAGAAATGACCCTGGAGAGGCAGAGAGGAGTGACTGCAGAGACAGGGGAGTGGGTGGGCTGGCCCATGGCTGAGGCCCCGCTCCCAGAGCTGTGGGGAGATACGGGAGCCACACCTAGCCCCAGCGTTGTGGAACTGGAAGAGCTCCTGCGGGCGGGGAAAATTTCTTCTTGCAACCGGGCAGATGAAGTTTGGCCCAACCTTTACATAGGAGATGCGTGAGTAGTAGCTGGCCTAAGGGGTGTAGGGGTGGGAACAAGAACAGACAGTTCCTGGGCTCTTTACCAGAGATAGGAGCGGGATGGGAACACGGAGACAGTTCTGCACTGAGCATTCTCGGCCCGGGGACTTTCTCCAGAAGTCCTGTGTGCTGGGGACAGTGCAGTGATCAGATGCGGCCACCAGGGGGAGTGGGGACTTTGCCTGCCGGAAAGAGGGGAGCTCCCAGAAATTCCTGGAGTCTGCTGACATATCCAGGAAAATGGGGGAGTTTCGGGGGCAGAGGCCTGGGGAATGGTGATGTGGGGTATGAAATGGATTGGACAGAGAGCTTCCCTTCCTGGTCCCAGCCTCTCTCCTGGGTCACAGTGGGCGAGGAAGCCTGACTAAAGGTGAATCAGGAAAGTTGTCACCTCTAAACATTTGCAGAGTAGAAGCAGGTATGAGGTAGTGGCCAGCAGAGCCCGGAAGCGCGTGGGAAGGCATGGGGCAGGAAGGAAGGGCGGGGCAGCCAGGTCCCAGGGGTGAGGCAATCCTCTCCTTTCTGTCCCAGCCAGCAGGGGCGCATGGCCTCAGGAAGCAAAGCGGGGCTACAGATAACTTCCTCTCCCACCAGCTCTCCCACTGAAAGCTCTGAGGGTGGCCCTGGGAGCTGTGGATCCAGCTCTAGCTTGCTGGGTTCCTTCCGCCTTCCTTTGGACCCTAATGGCTCCATCCCTCTGAAGTAGGGGGCCTGACGTAGGGGGCTCCCTCCTGGACCCCATGGCTCAGCCAGCATCCAGCCCCCTTCCTCCGCTCCCCAGGGCCACAGCCAATAACCGCTTTGAGCTCTGGAAGCTGGGCATCACCCACGTGCTGAACGCCGCCCATGGAGGCCTCTACTGTCAGGGCGGCCCTGACTTCTACGGCAGCAGCGTGAGCTATCTGGGGGTGCCAGCCCACGACCTCCCCGATTTCGACATCAGTGCCTACTTCTCCTCTGCAGCTGACTTCATTCACCGCGGCCTCAGCACACCTGGGGGTAGGACTTGGCGTCTGATCTCAGATCCATCCTGTCCAGTCCTGGGGGGATGTCCAGTTTCCCTTCAAACATCATGCCCTTCCATCCCTCGTTTTTATTTAAAACAATTTTTTTTTCTAAACTGTAAGAGAAGGTTTATCTAGAAAGTCACAGAGGTAGAAAAGAGCCATGGAAGAAATGGGCTCAGGAAACAAGCCACAGAGGCCAGAGAAGGCCCTGGGAGCCCAGGAAAAGGAGGGAGCAAGGAAAAGGCACCCGGAGGAAAGGGAAGAGGAGGCGCTGTGCTCGCCACAGAGAGAGCCGCACTGGGTCCTCCCGGAGGCCTCAGGGGAGGACCCCAACCATCCCTAGTTTTTAAAAAGCCATCAGCTTTTTTTTTTAAAAAAAATGTCTGCTCGGTGCTCCAGTGATTTATCCAACTGCGTAGCTTCACACATGGAGAAACTGAGGCCTAGAATACAAGACCATGCCACGGTTAGGAGCAGCCCTGCAAGCCAGGCCTCCCGAACAGCAAATGCAATTCTTTCTCTGTAGCACGCAGCCTTCAGAAATCGCCGTTCGGTACCTAGATGTCTGGTTTATGCCACAAAGTACTTTCAAATGGAAAAAAAAACCAAAAACAAAACTTCTAGCACCCAGGGGACAACAAGGGCCCCGGGGGAAGCTGGGCCCCTATCCTGTGTTTATCCTGGGTGAGCACTCTGGCCTTTGCCACTGGAACCTGGGCGAGCCAGCATCCCTCTCTGGACTTCAGTTTCTCAACTGCGCAACGGGAGAGACAAGACTATGCCTCACAGCACTTCTTAATATTCAAAACACTTTGACATTCATTTGTTCTTCATCCATCCACTTGCCAGCTATGTACTATCTTCTCTGTGCCAGGCACTGAGCTAGATGCTGGGAATTCACACTTAGACAAGGCAGGGTGCCTGTCCTCACGGACCTTGTCCTTATGTTTGGAGGGAAGGCAGTCACAGTGTAAAGTGGTACGAGTGCTATGCACGGAGTGGGGAAATGTGAAGAGCTGAGGGAGCGCAGGGCAGGGGTGCTCAGCTCAGAGGAGCAGGGAGGCAGGTGACTCCCCCCTGCAGCAGTAGTCACTGGGCCACGTGCAAAAAGGATGAGCTGCACCATGATTCAGGCGACCCCATGAGTGGTCAGGAACGCCTATGCAAAGAAGCTGAACCCTGATAGATGAGTAGTAGATGTTAGTCAGTCCGAGAGCAGGGGGAAAGGGTTACAAGGAGTTGGAAAAGCATGTGCTAAGGCTGGAGGCCAGAGACCATGACAGCTTCAAGGAGCTGGAAGTTACGCGGCACGGCTAGAGCTGAAGATTGGGGTGGGACAGCCTGAGATGAGGCTGCAGGATTAGGGGGGCCAGTTCATTCATGGAGGGTCTTATGAGCCATGACTTATAAGACTTTGGGCCCTAGCCCAAGGGGTCCACTTTGACCGTCGTCCCACCAACCATAATGACAAGTTCCATGAGGCTAAGTAGGAGCTGGTCTACGCATCTGACAGATCAAGACACTGAGGTCCCTAAATGTTGAATGACTTGGCCGGGGCTTGTCACAGAGTACACGCAAAGCAGGGCATGGAGAGGAACTTGGGCCCCCACCCCAGCCCCTAGGTGGGCCTGCTGGTGGGAAAGGGTCTTCTTTCACCAGGATGTCTCCCTCAGCCAAGGTCCTGGTGCACTGCGTGGTAGGCGTGAGCCGCTCCGCCACTCTGGTCCTGGCCTACCTCATGCTGCGCCAGCAGATGTCCCTGCGCCAGGCAGTGATCACCGTGAGGCAGCACCGATGGGTCTTCCCGAACCGCGGCTTCCTCCACCAGCTCTGCCAGCTGGACCAGAAGCTGCGGGGTGCAGGCCGGAGCTGAGGGGCCAGGTGAGGGCTGGGCAGGGGGAGGGGACAAGGGGGCAAGGCTGGGTGCAGTTAGAAGTGAGAGGCCCGTTGAGAGCTGGGCAGGGAACAGGAAGGGGGAGGCCAATGAGGGCTGGAAGTGAAAGGTCAGGGGAGGGTGGGTGGGGGACATGGGAGGGGACAGTGAGAGTAGTTGTTAGGGCTGACTGGCTGGAACTGAGGGTGGAAGGGGGCTTGGCCCACTCTCCAACCTGCTGGGCTCCCCTCACCAACCCAAGGCCTTATCAGGGCCCAGCCAAGATAAGCCTCTCTCTCCCAGCCTACCCAGGTTCTTCAGACCCCAGAGAGGATGGAAAGACTAGGAAAGAAAGGGTTGGAAAGCTTAAAATGGAAGAGGTGAGGCCTTCCTACCTGGTCTTGATGCTGACCTGCGATGTCTCCTTGGTCAAAGGCCTGTGGGGGCTCTCTTACCCCCCCCACCCCCCACCGCCCAAGGCAGCAGCCAGCCAGTCCTGGAACCATGGTCTGTCTGAATCTTCCCACAGCTTCAGGTCTGGGGGAAAGTGCGGCTGCAGCTATTGCTTAAATTAAGCGAATTCTCACATCACCCCGGACTCACCGTCCCCACGTGGGGAAGGAGAACAGGTGCTGCCACCAGCCCTGCTGATGTGACATTCTCCTGTCATCATGCCAATCCATCCTCTCCTCCGACCCAGCACCCCGTGCCCTACCTGCCCCCCGCCCCCAATCTGATCTCAGATCAGTAGAAGGACTCTCCCTAACCTCCCTCCTCTCTGGCTCTGGGACTCCTGTAGGACATAAAGGTCTTACTGAAGTCTATTCAGACTCCTTCCTGCTTCCATGTACCTGCCTCCTGTTCTGTGTTCAGCGCATTTGGAGCAATAGCACAAGGGGAACCGATCCCTACCACCTCCCTCCTCAAGCCCCTCCCCTCCTGCTGGAGGCCCGTGTCCCCAGCTGCCTAGTGGACAGAGTCGGGCTACCCCAGCAACACGCTGCTTCCACTTCTCTGGCATCAGCCCTGGGTTTTCCTCCAGCTCACTGGGAGGAGGCCAGGGTGTCTCTTCCTGGGTGCTACCAGGGTTGTGAGGGAGCTGCAGAGGAAGCAGCTCTTCCCCACTGCCCTTCTCCCACCACGCCCAGGCTGGGTCTTGTCCCCAGCCGGTCCCAGCAGCCCGCCTCCCCCACATCACATCTCCCGTGGGTGCCATCAGCTGGGGGGTTAGGCCTCCAGAGCTGCTGTCCACTCCCTGAGCCTGCCTCTAGCTCCTGCTAGCCAGCTCCTTCCCTCAGCTCTCCTCAACCTTGACTTTGGCTGTGCCGCACCACCCACTGGCTCACAGGCGCTGCCGGTGGGGGTGGGTGGCTGGCCTAGGCTCTCCTGATAGTTGGAAGAGCAACAACTTTCTCCTCCTGCCAAGAGCACGGCCTCAATCCTTCCCCGGCCCCCACTCAAAAGAGCTGTCTTGGTTTTTGAATGCCAGCTCAACCAAGTGTGGGGAGGGGCACATTAGCAATTTGACCCCTTCCCACATGCTGTCAGGAGGGTGAGCATCTTGGGGATGGGGATTAGGGCAGGATGGAGGGCTAGGTTTGGAATTAGGGGGTGAGTGTAATGGGAGGAAATGAGGGTTATAGCTGGAGTTGGGCCTAGGCCGGGGGCTAAGCTGAGTGGGAAGCTGTTGTGGTGAGCTCTGCGGGCACGGGGAGCCAAGAGGAGGGCCGGAATGCGTGCTCCCGCCCTGCTCTTTCCTCTAAACAGGCTTCAGGAGCCTGGCAGAGCAGCAGGTCTCTGATCATGCCCAGTCACCCCACTTCCTAGGCCTGAGGCTCTCAAATACCCTGACCCAAACCCTCAGCATTTTCCCATCAGGCAGCTGGCTTTGGCGGAGTCACCTGAGCTACAGCATTGCACAGTTCCTGGGGGTGCATCCCCCGAATAGTCTGTGCAACTGGAGCCCCTGGGTGTTGTACGTTGTGCAGCCCATGAAGCCATACCCCGCAGCCCTGGGGCTGGGCACTGCAAAATGAGGGGCTGTGAGCCCTGGGCCCCAAACCTGCCTCCTCATCTCTCCCAGCACCGGTGCCCTCTTGACCTTACCCAGGGGGTTCAAAGCAGAAGCAGGTTTGGGTGGCAGCTCCTATCCCGACACAATGATGTGGCCCCAGCCAATCTGGCCTTGGCTTTCCTGCCTGTAACATGGAGCTCATTCTCCCCCAGAGCTGGTCCTTGCTCCCTGCCACGGGGCTCTGCCTCTTTGCCACCCTGGCACTGGCCCTGCTGGCGCTGCTGGGGGCTCTGGCCCAGGCGGACACCCAGAAGATGATCAGATCCCAGTGTGGGGTCCGGCCGACAGCCTGCTACTCCTTCCGCTTCCTCAGGCTGCCTGCACTTTCTCTCAGCCACTGTCTTCAGCCCCCACAGGTGGGAATGGGCCCTGGGGGTGGGGGGAGGACGGGACGAGATCTGAGGAGATCCACCAGCTTTCCCTGGGCTCAGGGAGCCCCAGCAGGGGCTGGGCCTTATTCCCTGGAGCCCAGACTTCAGAGACCCTGCAGGTGTGGCTGCGGGGTACACAGGTGTGAGCGCATGGTACCTGAGAGTGAGTGGGAAGACCACTGAGGTTTGGGTATATGAGGAGGGTCTCTGGAGAGCAGGGAGGGTTCTTAATAGGCCCGAATCCAAGGTCTCAAGCTGATCACAGTTAACCTTAGGAGGAGCCTTAAGGACCATTTCCCTGGCCACACGGAAGTGGGACCTGGGTCAGAATGCCTCTGGGGGAAGGAGGAACTTGGCAGAGGGCAGAGGGGCTTCTGGACAGAGCTTCTGACAGTCGGCCAGGGCGTCAGAAGACCTGCTCTGAACCCCACTGACCCCTTTGTCTGTCTGTCTTCCCATACTTCCCTCAACCCGCGTCTTCTAGATCTTAATGTAATCCTTAGCCCCCAACTAAAAGCCCTGGGCCTGGGTCCTGATGTTGGCGATCCCGCTGGTTTGTGTGTGATTTTGGCTGCTCTCTTCCCCATCCTCCTCCATAGAGGATCCTTCCAGCTTCAACTTTCTGCCCATGTTCCACACCCCCCTTGAAGCTTTTAAAATGGCTTATTTGATCTTCCTTCTCCCTGCCCACAACCAACATCCACATCCACGCATGCCGCAGGCATCCTCCTGCCGGAGGCATCCCCCTGCTGGCTGCCTGGCTGTGTGTGGCACTGACCGTGCCGTGGGGCCAGTGGGGGAGTGGGGAGTGGCAGGAGAGGCCGGAGAGGGGAGCAGCACATCATGCTTTATAATTAAACTCAAATCAAAAATAGAAACAGCAGCAAGTGCGCAGAGACAAGCGGCTGGAAGTCAGCAGCACAACGTGCCTGTCAGACAAGACCAGAGCCCGGGCCAGATCCCCCTGCAGGTGGGTGAGTGCCCCTATTTCAGGGGCTGCACAGAGCTTGCTGGGTAGTGAGGGCCAGGGCACCTGGGCCTGCGTGTATTGTGGCGGGGGTGAGGGGGACTGGGTTAGATTGGGGGATGGACGGGTCAAATAAAGGCACAGACAAAGCCTCGCAGAGTCAGAAAGACCTGCGCTTGAATCCTGGCTCCCATGCTGTTGGCTGTGTGACCTTGGGTAAATCGCTTAATCTCTCTGAGTCTCGGCTTCCTTCCCTGTAAAATGGGGATCGTGATATTACCTGCCTCCTAGGGTACTGTGAGGCTTCAATGAGAACATGTAAACACTTAGCTCTGGCTGGTACCTAGTGCATCCTTAGTGAGAGGTGAATGTAACAATAATCATCGCGACAGAGAAAGAGACATCAGGAAACACAGAGATAAAGACCCCTGGGAAAGTCGCCCTCTACCTGGGATATGGCTCCGGCTTGAATAGGTAACGGTAATAATAGTGATGATAACAACAGCAAGATGTCCCGTTTATTGGGCAGCTACCATGAGGCAGAGCCTGTGGGACCTGCCTTCCATTCATTACCCCGTGGGGTCCTCACTGCAGCCCCACTGAGGACACTGGCTCAGAAGCGTGCACACAGATGCCAGCACCAGGCCTAGGTCTGCCCTCCTCCAAGGCCTGCAGGCTGGGGACAAACCCACCGGCCGCTCACCACTGGCAGCCCACGAACACCTCTCTCAGGCTTCCTTCGCCAGCCTGCACAGAGATCTCCCGCCCCACCTGTCCTGAGGCCGCAGTCTCACCTGGTCTGCCTGTGGGGGAAGGAGGGCAGAGAGAGTGAGCAGCAGGGGAGAGGAGGGGGGATAGCTCCTGGGGCTGTGCGAGGAGGTGGGTGGCAAACAGCTGCTGCCCTGAGACAGCCGGGCCTGGCCTGAGGCCACCAGCAGACAGGGCTGCTGGGAGGCTGTGGAGCAGCCCAGCTCCTGGGGAGGGTGGGAGACAGAGGCCACGGGAAAGCAACATAGCGAGGAGGAGAGAGGCAAAGGCAGAAAACAGTGTGTGAACTTGTAATCAGCAGTGACACAACAGCAGGCAGAGCTGGTGCCTACAGAGGCATCTGTTAGCTTAGGGGGAGATGCAGGAAGGAGGCCTGGAGTGCATGGGGAGAGCAGCCAAGCCGGCCCTGTCCCTGATGGAGCTGGGCCCTGCGTCACCCTCAGGTGGCCGAGGAGATTGGGAGAAAGTGTTAGGCAAGGTCCCTGGCAGTCCAGGTCTGTGGGTGGCAGAAACCGGGGGAGCTGCTGCAGCCACCAAGTCCCTGTCTGTGGTTGTGCCTGGAGCATGAAGAATGTGTCACTGGGCAAGGGGCTGCCCACGGTGAGCTGCCAGTGGGTTTGTCCCCAGCCTGGAAGAGGGCAGACGTGGGCAGTGTTCCTAGGCCTGGTGCTTGCATCTGTGTGCACGTCTCTGAGCCAGTGTCCTCAGTGGGGCTGCTGCGAGGTAACACATGGAAGGCACTTCCCACAGGGGCTGGGCCTGCCTGCGCTGGCAAAGTGGGATGGGTAGACAGGCGGGGGATCCATCCATGAGCATCAGGAGGGAGGCCCTAGCTGGCGTCTGACGAGGAGTACCCCTTATTCCAAGGGAAAGGTGCCATTCTTGAGACCTGGGCCTAGGTGCCCTAGGAGGCTGAGGCGGGGCTGTGCCTGAGGAACCCCAGATCCTTGATCCCTCTGCTGTCTCCTCCTCTGCCCAGGAGCCTCTGGAGGAGCAGGGCCTGGCTGCCTACTCCCAGACACAGCTGGGCTGCGAGGCACCCACTGGCCACTGGGGGGCAGCCTTACCCCACGCCAAGCTCAGAGGCCTGAGCCCGCGCCTGCCTGACTTCCCCAAGCCCCATCTGCCTTGCCTGGGGCTCAAGCACCAGCTGGCAGCTCCAGACCAGTGTGGCTTTTGGATGATTCTGGAGCCCGGGGGCTTACCCCATCCTAACACACTACCCCACTCTCTACCCCGTGGTTGCTGTGCACCTAGCCACTCCTCTCATTCTCAGGTCAGACCCCTACAGACCCCTCAGTCAGGCAACACCAGGGTACTTAACATGGGAAGAGAAATGTGGACAAGACTGAAAGAGATGCCCAGCATGGAGAAGGCCTGGGGTTTGGAGGGACTGTGCTCCCTGCTACAGGGGCCTAGGTCTGCTTCTCAGACCCCCCCAACCCCCCACCCCCACCCCGCCGTGGGCTCCAAGAGGAGGGCCTGGAATTCTAGCCGCTTCACAGCATTTGTGTTCTGGGCGGAACCTGCCCCAGCCCCATTCCGCTCATGTGCTTAGCTCTGTCCTTGCCCTCACTCCCCCACTCCCGGCCCTAGACCATGCCCTAGGTAGGTGGCAGGCCACTCAGCCTGCCCTGAGAGGTCTCAGTGGGGGATGAAGGGGAAAGCTGGGTCTTCCCTTCCACCCTGCCCACCGGCTGCCCGCTGGGTGAGCTTGGCCAAGCCAGTGGCCTCCTGGGTGCCTATTTCTCTCTCTGGTCCTAGCACCGCCTGCCAAAGAGAAAAGATGTTTTTTCCAGTTTGTACCTTCCCTAGTTACTGGTTGAGAGGGCCAGGGGCAGTTAGCCAAGAGAGGCACTCCTTCCCAGGACGACACCAGACCCATGTTTTGGTGCCACTGACCACTCAGCCCAGCAGGGGCCCGGACCCCCTCGGCCAGCTGATTCCTGAGACAACTCACCCCAACTGGGTGAGGCCTGACCCGCAGCGCTGGCCCGAGTCATCGGGGTAAGGAGGCAAGTCCCAGGACTTACAGGCACAGGCGTACCCGCAGCGCCGGGCTCCCTGTAGAGTTGAATGGGCTGTTGACCACTCTCTGGAGTCCCCAGAGGTAGTAACTGGAAGACTTGGGGACTGAACTGCGGGGTCAGAGAACTGGATTGAAACCACAGCCTCGCTACACATCAGCCCTATGGCTGTGGGTGGCACAATTTTTCTCTCTGACCTTCCGCTTTCTCCCAAGTAAAATAGGGACCTACCACAGTGAGGTCCCAGGCCCCTGAGAGGCATTAGCTCATTCCGTATGGAAATGCAACAGATGTCCTGCATAGCCCAGGCCCCTCACTCCAGAGATGGACTCTGCTCTCCAAGCACCTGAACATGGAGATCAGCCCTGGAGGTAGCAGAGGAGGGGGCTGAGATGAGCTGCCCAGGCTGAGGGGGCCACAGCCATCCGAGGCCTCCATCCCTACAAAGTCCCAAGTGACCAGCGGCTTAAGGGGTCGGATCTGCACTGGCTCATCACCACAAACAGGGAGCCCCAAGGACCCCTTGGCCAAAGTTTCTGGCCTCAAGGGCCTCTGGAGAGGGTGGGAGAGAGGGTAGCAAGAGGTTGATTCCCTCGTCCCTGGGGAAATGGTCTCAGCCTCAGCCCAGCGGAGTTGGTTAGTAACCTCACGCGAACTAGCTGAAGCCCTTCCCGCACCATCCCAGTACCACCTGGGCCTCCGGGCCAGCCGGACCCACCTTGTGGGAGCATGCCTCTAGCCACCGCGGTGTCCACCCTGTTCCAGGATGGATTCCCTGCAGAAGCAGGACCTCCGGAGACCCAAGATCCACGGGACAGTCTCCGCATCGCCCTACCAGCCGCCCACGCTGTCCTCACTGCAGCGCTTGCTGTGGGTCCGTCGGGCCACCGTGCTGAGCCACATCAACGAGGTCTGGCCCAACCTCTTCCTGGGAGATGCGTAAGTCCGACCCACGTGGGAGAGTGGGGAGCAGAAGGGGAGCCTCTCCCAGAGCCCTCCAGGGGCCTCCCATCATCTCTTTCCACATGTTTCTTCCCTTTTATAGAAATTACTTTTTTAATTGTGGAAGTAGAACACTCATAAGAAAAGTGCATAGAGTGCATATGAACAGTTTCACCAGCCAGGTCAAGAAATAGGCATTTGCAGAACCGGTTTGGCGCAGTGGATAGAGCGTCGGCCTGCGGACTCAAGGGTCCCAGGTTCGATTCCGGTCAAGGGCATGTACCTTGGTTGCGGGCACATCCCCAGTGGGAGGCGTGCAGGAGGCAGCTGATCGATCTCTCTCATCGATGTTTCTAACTCTCTATCCCTCTCCCTTCTTCTCTGTAAAAAATCAATAAAATATATTAAAAAAAAGAAAAGAAATAGGCATTAGTTGTGCTTCAGAAATACCTTCTGACCCTTCTTGCTGTAACTGTTTCCCTGTGGACAATCACTAAGAGTTGAAGTAATTATTTCCTTGCTTTTACTTATACTTTTACCGTTCATATACCTAACTATATAATTAGTTTAGCCTATCTTTTAAAGTTAGATGAATGGAATCATATTGTGTGTGTTTTGTGCGTGACACAATTTGTGCAAAATTGTAAGATTCACCCATGTTATTATGTGTGGTTACAGTTCATTTTTTTTATTGCTGTAAAAATATTTGATTGTACAAATACCACATATTTTATCCATTTTATTGTATACAAACACTTGAGTTGTTCCCACTTGTTGGCTACTATGAACAGTGATACTAGAAACATTCTGGTACACGTGTCCTGGTAACACACACGCGTTACATAGGGTACATAGAGAGAGTAGAACTCAGTCATTGTTTCTCATTTTTTTTTCCTTAAAATTTAAACATATGGACCAATATATGTGGATTTTAGAAAATTTCCTTAATATTTAGAGAATAGGGTTCTTGTTAACAATATGGCAAATATGCTATCCTCCCTACAGATAACCAGTAATAAAATCCTTGTTGACTTTTAAAAAGTGCATACACACACACACACACACACATACATGCTTTTTCACATTTCTTTTTTATTTTTACAGCAAATGGTATCACTTTATAATCCTGTTTTGTAACCTGCTTTATATTGAAAGCTTTTTTTAATGGAATCATACTACATATTTTTAAAACCTTCTTAAACAACGTTCTGCTTTGTATTGTACATTTTCCATAGATTCTCAGTATAGCATGAGCACTTTTCTTTTTTTAATTACATTTATGGGGGTGTCATTGGTTAATGAACACCCTTCCTTGTTCACCTGTATCTACTCTATTTCAGTGGTTGCATAGTATGTCATTTACCTTACATACTCAGCCACCTATTAGAGGATATTTCGTGATTTCCCCCCCGTTTCTTTCTTTAAGTCCTTAGAAGGAGACTTGCTGGACAAAGTATGTGAACATTTTTTTTTTAATATTTTTTATTGATTTCAAAGAAGAAGGGAGAGGGAGAGGGAGAGGGAGATAGAAATATCAATGATGAGAGAGAATTATTGATTGCCTGCCTCTTGCGCACCCCACACTGGGGATCGAGCCTACAACTCAGACATGTGCCCTGACCAGGAATCGAACCATGACCTCCTGGTTCATAGGTCAACGCCCAACCACTGAGCCACATCGGCTGGGCAAAGGCTTTTGATGCCTGTGGCCAAAATGCTCTCCAGAAAAGTTGGTTGAGGGAAGGGAACCTTGAACTCTAACTAGAGGAGACCCTTCACCTGGGACCAGTTTGCTGTTCCCGCCTCTCCCCTTGATGGCAGTGGCAGAGGAGGGAAGGGGTCAGTTCCAGTCCAGCCAGAACTGACCCCCCAAGGGAGACCTGCCCCCACCTCCCAATTCCCAGCCTCCTCTGTGTCCTCCCTCCAGGTACGCAGCCCGGGACAAGAGCAAGCTGGCCCAGCTGGGCATCACCCATGTTGTGAATGTTGCCGCGGGCAAGTTTCAAGTGGACACAGGTGCCAAGTTCTATCACGGAATGCCCTTGGAATACTATGGCATCGAGGCTGATGACAACCCCTTCTTTGACCTCAGTGTCCACTTCCTGCCTGTTGCCCGATACATCCGAACAGCCCTCAGTGTTCCCCAAGGTGGGCTCCGGGGAAGGAGGAGGTGGGGAGGAGGTGGGGTGGGTGAGAGCCGGGGCTGTCCATTTTCCAGCGGCACTGATAGGGAGTGTGTCCTGAGCCCAACCTCTCCAGCCCCCTCCCACCCATGGTGCAAATAGCTACTACCATTTAGTGAGCGTGCCCTCAGAGACTCCCTGGCCCCAACAATCACAGACAGGACTAAGGTCCGGTGTGGTCATCAGTATAACCATATCCCTCCGTGAGAGAGCAGGTGTGGGTAGCAGGCACAGGACCTAGCAAAGGCTCTTGAGCAGACACTTCTAAGGTGAAGCCTGGGCATAGGGCTGCAGGGACGGGGAGAGGGCAGAACTGGGGGGAAAGAGAGACACAAGCCCAGGGGACTCCCACAGTACCCTCCTCTCGCACTCCCCACCAACTCCCCAGGGTTTCAAGGAGGCCAGAGGAAGCACCTTGAACCAGGAGAGGGGAATCCCAGCTGCTAACCTTAGCTCCTCCGCTAACTTACTGTGTGACCTTGAGCCGGTTCCTTTCCCTCTCTGGGCCTCATTTGCCCCACCTGACACCGGACCCCGTGTCAGTATTCTAGGATGCTGTGACAGGTGGGCTGAAGGAGGGCCAGAAGGACTTCTGAATCCCAAATGGGTGGGTAGTACGAGGGCAGGTAACTGACACTGGGTCGGGTCTCCCTGCAGGCCGCGTGCTGGTACACTGCGCCATGGGTGTGAGCCGCTCTGCCACTGTCGTCCTGGCCTTCCTCATGATCTACGAGAACATGACACTGGTGCAGGCCATCCAGACGGTGCAGACCCACCGTGATATCTGCCCCAACTCGGGCTTCCTCCGGCAGCTCCAGGTTCTGGACAACCGACTGGGGCGGGAGACGGGGCGACTCTGACCTGGTGGACAGCCAGGAGCCCTGACCCTCTGGTTAGCGTGGCCCCACCCACCAGCCTGGCCCTGGGGACAGCAGCCTCTGCTGTTTCCAGTGACCTTGAGATGAACATAGCAAGTGGGGCTTAGCGGAGGCAGAGGCAGGGAGAGCTGGTTGGTGCCCTTTTAGCAGGTGGATTTCCCTGACCCAGTCCAGAGATTCTTTATGCAAAAGAGTTCAGTCTCTCTCTATAATAAAAGGTTCATCATAATAAAGAGACCTTCTGGTGGTTTGTGGGACGGTGGCTCATTCCAGGGATGGCCACGCTATTCCAGAAGGCTTGCCGGCTCTGGTTCAGTGTGCTGGCAGCCTAGAGACGGGGTCTGAGTCCCTGTCAAGGCTTCATGAAGGAGGCCAGGTGAGGATCCGTTAGTGATGCCGACCTCGGGTGCAAGAGGAAGGAGTGGAGCACAGGTGCTGAGAATTAGCTGACCTTTCTTCATCTTGTCCTCCTCCTACCATCACCAAGAGCGAGGTTGTCTGAGTAAAGACCAAAGTTCGAGGCATCACTGTCTTCACTATGAGGCCCTGGCCAGTGTGGCTCAGTTGGTTGGCGCGTCATCCTGTGTACTGGAAGGTCATGGGTGCGATCACCAGTCAGGTGTATGGGTGGGGGCAGCTGAACAATGTGTCTCTCTTGCTTGATGCTTCTCTCTCTTCCTCCCTCTCTAAATATAAAAAATAAAAACAAACAAAATACCCCCTCCACGACTCACTGTGTGCAAATAGCACCTCTTGAATCCTGTCAATCTTTCCATTTACACTCTACTTTCAAAATCACAATACCTGGAAAACTGAGGCATTAAACAGGAGGACAGGGGTTGAGGAGGAGATACCCCAAAAACCCTAGGCGAAGGGTGGTTATATGACGGAGCAAGACATTTAGCATGAGTTTCTCTGTACTTGTGCCCTAATAAAACAATACGAAAGCCTGCAGTTTCCTCACCTGTAGTTGGTACAAGGTATTATGAGGATTATAATTGGGCTGCGTTTCCTTCTTCCTCTCTGGTTGCTCCTACTTAGCCCTTGCCTTCTCCAGCTGACTCATAAAGGCCACAGTTTCTTAGGGTTCTGTCCTCTGCCTTATCTCCCCCTCAGTGTCTTTGCCCTCCTTGGGGGACGCGGGGGGGGGCGGGGGCGGGGGGAGGGCGGGCGGGTCCTCTTGCTCCCACAGCCTCAGTTCACATCTCTGGGCTGATGACTCCCAGCTCCCTGTGGCCAGCCCAGTTCTCTCTTCTGAGCTCAGAGCCTCTGTGTCCCACTGGCCACCTCCATGTGGATACTGCCCTTGAACTTCAAACTCAGCTGAACTTTCCATCACCTCTCCACCCAGACCACTTCTCCTCTTGGTCTGACAGCCATTGTTACTCAAATCAGTGATGGGTGTCACCTGGACTCCTGCCTCTCATCCATCAGCCTACTATCGATTCCTCCTCCCAGATACAACTTGGATCTGCTCACTTAACTTCATGTTTGTTGTGGCTACTCTAGTTCAAGCCAAGCTCACCTCTCACCTGGATTCTTACGACAACCTCTGCCTCCAGCCTGGTCCCCCCAGTCTCCATGTGGCATGCCAACATCTGACCAACATAAAAATCTGACCACGTCACTCCTCTGCTTACAGCCCCCGAAGGACAAAGACCTTGGCGAAGTATAAAGATGCTTCATTATCTGAGAAGTTCTCAGACCTCCAGCCATATCTCCTTCAATTCTGTTCTCATACATACCACGTAATTAAGAAACAGTAAACCTACTTGCCGTTCCCAGAATGCACCACACTCTCGGACCTCTGCTAACTTGCCCCCGCTCCCAGTTGCATCCCTGAAGGCACCACTCTCCCCACTCTCCACTGCGGTCTCCTCGAGGCTTCAGCTTAGACATCTCTCCTGGGAAGCTCTCCTGGACGCCCCGACCTAGAGAAGTGCTGCTCGCCGGCTACCACCATGTCCTTCCACCTCTGATGCTCTGGATTATAATCGCCTGTGCCTTATCCTCCTCTTCCAGCTGCGGTCTCTGACCAGGCTTTCCCTGGGCTGGGTGCCCCTCCCCAGGGCTCCCCCTCTCTGCCTATAGCCCTGCCTTAGGTACAGCTGTGTTTCCGTGGGCCAGCAGCCACAGGATGGCGCCACTGCCACTCAGCATTCTCTGAAGAGCCACCAGGAGGAGCGGATCCCAGCTGCTCGGGACTGGGCCTTCCTCCAGAGGGAACCTGCTCTCCTCCCAGCTCCACCTGCTGCATCTCATCATTTGGCTACCCTGACACTTCCTTCCCAGTTCACCTTGTCCCCTTGGGCCACCTCTGATTCCCTCTCCCTCCTCCTCACCAAGGCTCTCTGGAGGCTTCAGGGGCTTTCCCCCTTCTCTGCCATCTGGTCTCTTTCCAGAAGGCAAGTGCTTTTTCTTTGTACAAATCAAAAAAAGGTGGGCCCTCTACGCAAACCAGGCTGAAGCACTCCTGGGCTTGGTCAAGGAAAAGGTCTCTCTTCCAAGCAGACAGAGCTGCAAGTCAGGGTGCTCAACTGAGGGACTGAGCGCAGGCTGTGTTTGAGCCCCCATTCACTCCTGCAATTTATAAACTGTACAAACACAGGCTGCCTGATCTGGGATGTAGCGATGAATACCCCCATTTTACAGATGAACAAACTGAGGCTCAGAGAAGATGAAATGAGACTGAAATACTGCGTCCTGGGTAGGCTCTCTGGGCTCTGGCCTCAAAGGGCAGGTACTGCCCAGTCAGCTCCTCTGCTCTCCTCCCTGCAGCATTTGGTTGGCCCTGGTCCCAGCTGGCTGTTGGGTGCTCGCTGGGCCTTTTCCAAAGCTGGAAGATGGCAGAAGGGCTGTTGCTGCTATGCCCAACCAGGCAGAGTCCCTCTCCAGCCGAGGGACTAAAAATAATTCTCAGTTCATCCTCAGGTTGTTGAGGCCATAATTATCCAGAGCAGACAAAGCTAGTCCCCACGTGGCAGCCCAATCTGCCCACCCCAATTCTCTTGGATCCCCCTTGTGCCTGACAACTCAGCCCTTGTTGCTATTTCTTGCTCATGCACTGTCAGCGGGAACCAAAATAGTGGCTCTAAATTAACATCTGGGTCTACGTGTGTGAGCCACCTGCTTCTGCCGGCTGGGGTAGGATGCCCAGCGGCTGAGGCAGAGCCACACCCTGGGGCTTGAGTTTCTGCAGGTCACCTTCTTGGGGCTCTGAGGGTTAGACTTAGTCTAGGGCTCCAGGAGAAAGAGGGAGGGAAGCCCTAAGAAAGCAGGTGGTGAGAGAGCCAAATGTTTTTCAGAACATCCCAGGAAACAGAGGTTGAACTCCTGACGGGTCCATCCACCAGGAAGCCTTCCTGCCTGCTACACTTACCCCAGAAAGTCTGTGCTGATGCATCAACTTCCCCTCTTTTCTAGAGCAGCCTCATGAAAGGCATGGGGTATTGTCAGGAGCATGACTTTGGGCAAATTACCTGGATTCAAATCCGACCTCTGCCCTCTACCAGGTGTGTGACCTCAGTTAATCTCTCCACACCTCTGGTTCCCCATTTGCAAAATGGGAGTAATAATAACCAACATATAGGATCGTTGTAAGAATTAAGTGGGGAAGATAGAAAGTTCTTTGTACAACATGTGGCAAGCTTTCGAAAATGAGATCTGTGATTATTGTCATAGAACATAGTACAGGGGCCTCCTGGCATAGTCTGAACTAATCGTTGGTAGTTGAATGAATGAATGATTAAAAATTAGCTGACCTAAATGCAACATGGTATTCTGGATTGGATTCTGGAACAGAAAAAAGGACGTAAGTAGAAAAACTGGTGCAATCTGAAATAAATCTGTGGTTTAGCTAATAGCATTACACTAATTTTAATTTCTTTGATAACTACACCATGGTTAAGTAAGAAGCTAACATTAGAGAAAGCTGGGTGATGGGTATACAAGAAATGTCTCCACTGACTTTAAGACTCTCTGTAACTAAACATATCTCAAAATAAAACTTCAAAGGAATTGCCGACCGTTTCTGACTGCTTTGCATATGCCAGGCACTATGCTAAGTGCTTTAGATGCATCATGTCCTTTTTTTCCTTTCTTTTCAGTTTCATCCATAATGCTTTATTTCTTTAGGAAAAAAACCACAAATATAGCAAAATGTTAAGATTTGATCACATTGAGTTGTGGGAATATGCGTTTATCTTTTTTGTGTGTGGGAGTATGCGTTTTATCTTTTTAAAAATTATTTTCTAATTTAAAAAATAAAAACAAATTGACTAATTTTTAAAATTAGAAACATCTTGCCTGGCCGGTATGGCTCAGTGGTGCAGAGAGAGGTTAGAGCAGATAGCAGCTGAGTTCAACTGAGAGTTTAGTATGTACCAGTGCACATCAGGGTAGCTAATGGCTCTGACAAGCAAAACTTTATTTCTCCCACACAACACAGGTTGATGGGATGTGGGGGAGTGAACATGGAGGGGATATGAGAGGCCAGATAGGTCACTTCTCTTGCAGTTCCATGGCCTAGACTCAGTCCATGGTCACACCTAGCCGCAGGGGAGGCTGGGAAATGTAGTCTAGCAGGGTGCCCAGGAAGAAGAGGAAACTGCAAATGTTGGTGAGCATAAGCAGGCTTTCCCACAGCAGGTGTTGACATGAGACATAAACAATCATTTCATTCTCATAAGCCATAAGAGGTCATACTATTATTAATATTCCCATCCTACAGCTATGAATCAAAACCAAGGCTCACAGAGTTTATTTTTTTAATATATTTGTATTGATTTCAGAGAGGAAGAGAGAGGGAGAGAGAGAGAGAATCATTGATAGGCTGCCTCCTGCACCCCCAACCCTGGGGATCGAGCCCCCAACCCGGGTATGTGCCCTGACCGGGAATTGAACTGTGACATAGGTCGATGCTCAGCACTGGCCAGGCAAGCCTGTGATCTTCAACACTCCCTGAGCCTTCATTCTGGCTTGACCTTGGTGACTTGCTTACCAGGAGGTTTTGGACAAACGTGGCAGTCAGGAACTTCTGAAGCTGGGTCATAAGATGCCCTGCGGCTTCTGCCTGGGTTTCCTGAGACTCTCTCTGGAGCCTGGACCACTACGCAGGAAGTCTGACTACCCCCGAGCGGCCATGCTAGCGAGGCCTTGGGGAGGCGAGCTGGCTGGCAGTCCAGCTGAGCCCAGCCTTCCAGCCTCCCTGCCAAGGCACAGACAGTGGAGTGACCCTTTTTTCGGATCCTCTGGACGAGCACATCTGCCGGCTGAATCCCTCTGAGTGACCGCCGTCAATGCCCCATGGAACAGAAGAACCATCCACCGAGCCTGCCTGCATCAAGGACCCACAAAGTCATGGGATGTAAGAAGACACTCCTGTGTTTAAGTCACTAAACTCTGGGGTGGCTTGTTACCCCAATAGGTAACCAGCACAGCGGCAGAGCAGTTCTGATGAAAAGCCCCGGCTTTAACCACTAAGTGAGCCGTGGGAGGGATGGGTGAACGAGAAAAGAACAGAGCGGCTGCATCCCTCCACCCCGGGCTGAATGCATGGCGACGAGGTTCCACATCTACAGAGGAATAAAGATGACAGAGGAGCCATGGCCTGTATGGAGATCGAAAGATGGTTAGGGTTCTAAGGGAAATATTGGAGGCAACGGTCTTGAGGTGGGCAGGTTAGATATGCTACCGGAAAGGGAACATCCAACTCCTCACCTCCCTCCCAAGCTCTGTCTCAAGCTGCAGCCCCCCCTACCTTCCAGGCCAATGGACTCCCGGCCACCAGGAGCCCCCTGTAGGTCTGCTGGCCTTGAGCTCCCAGCCTGGTCTTGACAGCTGCCTCCTCCACTTCCTCCCACATCGGGAG